AACTACTTTTAAAGTGCAACCTTTGCCGTGTAAGTCTTTAAATGGGGATGGAGGAAATCTGCTGACAAATCAAATACTGTAAACTTGCCTTGGGCTTTGAGACTCTTGTCAGTCCCACACCCCCACAGAAACGTGTTTTGTAGGGACATGAGAGAGGGCTTTCTTTGTTCAGGTGGCCTTTGTCAATCAAGGGGAGCTTTTACTAGGAACATCCTAGACTTTTAAAAACACTTACGTGCTTTTACAATTTATTATAACAGACTTGTACTTTAATACTTTTAAAAAATTGTTGTAATATTAACAGTTCCTGTGAGGTTTTAAAATCTGTTTTTAATGATGTTGTAAGCCACCATGAGTTCCTGTTCTGGAAGAAAGACAGGGTATAATCAAGTCAAATAAATATAAATAAGCAGGCTAACACTGGGACCTTGGGCAGTATGACAGATTACAAAGGTGTGCTGAGTTAGAGCAACACTGAAGTCACAGTTTGAAAATACAGTATGAAAGCAGCAGTCAGAATCTGTTTCTGAGCACTTCAGATCTACAGATCTTCCCATGTGTATGCACTGTGAATTTACATAATGGCTTTATAATATTTGTTGTTTGATTTTTAGCCTTCTTGCAATTATCAAATGGCAAAATAATTTTTCTTTCTTTCTTTTTTACTACTATTTCAGTCTGTTCAACAGACTCATCACAAGCAAGTTAGAACCTAGCTGTGTAGCTACTTTACTGTGGTGCGCCCAGACAATTCTTACTTATCCCCCTTATTGGCTCAGTGTAACACTTTGTGGAAACATTTTAACATTTAGGAAGCAGTTTAATCAACTTTAGCATTTATACATCCTAATAATTTCAGTAGGTGTGTGTTAGGTATTGTCAAGTTGGAACCAACTTATAGCAATCCTAATGGAGATTTTCAAGTGAAAATCTTTTTCCCCAGTTTCATCACTCCACCCCGCCCTGCCACCAGTGAGCATCTGTGACTAAGCAAGGATTCAAATCCAGGTTTCCTGAGTCATGGGACTTCGCCATATCTATTACACCACAGTGGATACCTTAGCTGCAGTTGGAAACCGGTGGAATGTAAGCATGTTTAACATAGGCTGAGTCTTGTCCTTAAAGATTTTGCAACAAAATGAGTAGAGAAATCAGGACTACTTTAGAGCTGGTATATTTAGCCCTTATGCCAACAATACATTTAGCAGACTGGTGTCTGCTGGCAATCTATTACCTTGTTTGCTTCAAGTTTGATAACCTTATGCTGACCCTCTGTATTAGGTTTTTGTTTTTGACAATTATGTGTATATTCTCAGTTGGCAACTTTTTAGATAACACAGTGTACTGCCATGTTTCATATGCTTTTCAAATAACCCCTTATGCAATAATCCAATATTTAGGGAACATCGGGAGTCCTGCAGTGCAAAGATAACACAGGAACATCAGAAAAGCCCTGCTTGATCCAACTAAAAAGGTCAACCTAGTTTAACTTGCTGCTTCCTAGGGTGCCCAAATAGATGAAACCTAATTAGGACACGAAGGCAATACCTACTGCATAGTCTGTGGCCACATTCCCCAAGAGAAAATCCTTATGTAACCAAAACGAGCATCTATTTGTAAAAAGGTTGTGTATCAAAGTACACAAAATATTTACCAAAGCATTGAATAGTTCAGTGAGTTGGGTACTTGCTTGCAGAGTATTTGGTTCCCCATTGGGAGAAGTATGAGCCTATATAACCTTGGGCAAAGTGTACAGCCCCAGAGCACCCCCAGGAGGGAATATTTATTTATTTTATTATATTTATATCCCGCCCATCTGGTCATTCGACTACTCTGGACAGCGTACAGCATACAAAATAAACAATTAAAATAGCATCATTATCAAGATTAAAAAGTCATTCAAGATGGGGGGGAAATAAAGACGATAGATCAAATAGTGCCCGGAGGGAAGGCCTGCCTGAATAGCCAAGTTTTTAATTGGCTTTTAAAAATACCCAGCGAAGGGGCCATATGGATCTCTGAAGGTAGATTATTCCATGACCAAGGAGCAACTGCCAAGAAGGCCCGGTTTCTTGCTTTTTCCTTTCGGGCCTCTCTCGGCATTAGGCTCCTCAGTCGCACCTCCTGACTAGATTGAGGGATACGGATAGATTTTGGTGGGAGCAGGCGTTCCATCAGATAGCGAGATCCTAAACCATTTAGGGCTTTATATGTGATCATTAAAACTTTGAAATCGACGCAGAAGTGTACGGGCAGCCAATGCAATGCGGCCAGAGTGGGAGAGATATGCTGGTGTTTCCTCATCCCAGTAAGGAGTCTGGCCGCTGCATTCTGCACCATTTCAAGCTTCCACATCAGTCTCAAAGATATCCACACATAGAGTGCATTACAGCGGTCTAATCTCAAGATTACAAGCACATGCACTAAAGTGGTGAGCACCCCAACATCAAGATAGGGACGCAGGTGGGCAATCCGCCAAAGGTGGAAGTAGGCAGAGCGGACCACTGATGCCACCTGGATTCCCATGGTGCCGGGTCCAGATGTATCCCTAAGCTACAAACCTCACTCTTCGGGGTCAGTCACCCCCCCCCAAAAAAAGAGAGGTAGTTTCCCAAACCACCAATGGTGGAGCCACCCACCCTAGTCCGGAAACCTCCCTAATATCCTTTGAAGGGTCATCCATAGTGGCATTTTACCCATTGTAAAGACCAGATCCTATCATTTCCCCATGTCCACAGAAGGTTCTTGCTTATACCAATTACTGTACATGCTATCTTTTAAAAACCGCTTTCTGGTTCTTTCTGTACAGTGTGACATATATAGAGTTATGTTGCTGGGGGAAAAGGGGAAAGCCTCTAAACAACAATCTATACAATTTTGGAAAGGAAGTTTGTATTAAAAGTATTGTTCTAAGGGGTCACGTGGGTATGGGGTGCATGGAATTTAGTGTATAGTAAGCACTGTTATTTGTATTTTTGTATATGTTTTTGTTCTGGAAAAAAATATTATTTAAAAAAACATTAAAAAATGAATATAAGAATAAAACATGCTTCTTTTCACCCAGCTGGCCAAACCATGAATTGGAGGCCTGCCTCATGTTTTGTGGCAGCAAATTCCACAAATTGTGCAGTGTGGAAAGCTCCGGAAAAGAGTTAACAGACAACAGTTGATTGCTAAGGAGTTGCAATCTTTTTAGTGCTGCCCATTGAGCTTTGGGTGTTCTTAGAAATACATTTGCAGTTCACACACTGTGAAATTCAAGTGGCCAGCTACCCCACTGCATTACTACAGTAGCCCTGTGATGCATATCAGAACAGACTACAATAGCAAAATCCCAGCAACCCACTGGGACTGCAATTCCATTAGTAAACATGACATATACTCCTTACCAAACCTGTACATTTTAATGTTAGCAGCAGCAAGAGGATTAAGCACTTGCAACTCATGTGTCATGTACTCTTGTACTGTGAGAAAGTTAATATACAATTTTATCTTTCATAATGATTCAATCACGATAATATCCCCAGTGTGGTGTAGCAGCTAGAATGACAGACTAGGGTCCAAGAGTTCTGCTTTTAAATCCATACTCAGTATAAAATATCTTATCTCAAGTACATCAATCTAGCTTGGTGCACAGTTCTTGGGCTGTTCTGCGAACCAATTACCATTATACTCATCTGAGAAAAGTGCATGATAGATTCTAACACTCAACATCCATCAATTTTATTGCCAATATATTACTGAGGATTTTACTTTCCAGAGGTAACACAAAACAATTATCAAACAAAGGAATTTTTCAATAGTGTTTGTAACTAACTGAACTTTGGGGAGTTTTACTTTAGGCTCCCCCTGCCCTCAAAGAGTTAAAATTAACTAGTCCAAAAGAAACTTTACATTCTTGGAGAGGAATTCTTAATAAAATGAGAAACCTCCACAGAGGAATGTACATTTAAGATACAATGGATACATGCTTGGCTACACTTGTCTCAGCTGTCAATGAATCACTTTGAGTGGTATGAACTGACAGTGATAGTATCATCATGTACAAGGCTAGACTGTTCTGTTCTGTAGTGTGATAATTGTGGTAGCATTACATCAGGTTACTACTGCGGATCAAGTACAGAAATGTGCACCAACAGAGCTGAGTCAAGAGGAGCCAGAGTGCCTTTCCAACTACATCATTATAACTTAAATACTGTAATATTAAGTCTTATAGCTAGGTGTATCTGCACATTTACATACTAACTGTGCAATACCAGCTGTGGAAGCATGTAAACTAGTGGTGGTGAGATTTTTCAGATAAACGGAATATACTTTTTAGTTTGATACTGTAATGATTATAGTGCATTAAGGCTATGATCAGACTATGTTGCCAAAACTTTAAAATAAACTTAACTCTGTGGTTTTAATCAAAGAAATAAAAACTGGTTTCTTGACAGCTGCTATAAACATTCACAATTGATTAAAAAAGAAAGTAACTGCAAAGGTTAAGAGAAAGATTATACAGTGGTGCCTCGCTTGACGACGATAATCGGTTCCAGCAAAATCGCTGTAGAACGAAATCGTCGTCAAACGAAAGTAAAAAGCCCATTGAAATGCACTGAAAACCGCTCAAACACAGCGGAGAGCCATTTTGAACAGCGGGCGGCCATTTTGAACCGATGGCGATCAGCTGTTTTGATCGTCAAAGCGAAAAATCGCTTCCCAAAGCAGGGAACCGATCATCGTCAAGCAGATTTTCCCTATTTAAACATCATTTTGCGATCGCTATTGCGATCACAAAAACCTCATTGTTAAGCAATTTCATCGTGGAGCGGGGTAATCATTAAGTGGGGCACTACTGTAAATCAGGAACAACCCAGTTCAATGTTACTATCTGCCCAAACTTACAACTGAAGCCTGAAAAGCTATTTTCCTTTACCTCTGTTATATATACATATGCCTAAAAAGGTCAGTGAAACTGTGAAGTGTTTTGGTCATCAAGAATGAAACAAACGCTATAAAATGCTATAATTTACTATAAGGGACAAATGTTGACAATCTTTACTGTAAACAGAGTTATTTTGTGTTGACAAAAATAAAGGACAAAATCAAAAAAGGTAATCTATCCTAGCACTTTAAAGACTATTATTTTTAAATATTGCAAAAGAATACAATGGCACTTTAAAGAGGAATTTCATGAATATCAGAACAACTGCATAAAAATTACTTGCCTAGTCAGGACAAGGTTTTGTATCATGTATAAAACCATAGACCAAGTACAATAAGCACTGGACTTGGAAACCTAGATTTGAATTTCCATCTTTACACAAAACTCACTGGATGACTTCAGTTAATAACTTATTTTCATTTGTTATTTGTTCTTGGATAAAACAGGATGAGACATACGGAACAGAAACTGAACAGCAAGCTTTGAAAGAAGGGTAGAATCAAAATGTGTCAATCAAATCAGGTGAAAAGACAGAAGCATTTGCTCATAACCACATCCAAAAGCTACACATTAATTTATTACAACATTATGTAATGTCTTATGTTCCACTTGAAACTGTAGTTGTATTTATTAAGGCAAATCTGAAGATTTTCTGTGACTAAATTCAAAACATGGATTTATAGACTTTTCCAACTGATCAGAATAGTTATTTACACACATAATTTTTTCTCAGTCATAAGAATTACTTAATAACATTTTAACATTGAAGCCTAAGTGCTAATTCTTACCTTAAATTCTTACAGACAGATGCCTATTTCCGCTTATGCTTTTACAAAAGAGGTAGAGTGGTTTTGCATAAGTCACATCATGCAAAGTGATACAGAGTAGAAGAAAAAGAAAAGAAACAGAAACATGATCCAGCCAAAGCATTTCAGTCGCAATGATTTCAACACAGTGTTAATATCAAACTTAACTTACTCCTTTCTGATACAAAAAAAGCAAAATGTTTCTTATCACTATATGAACTTTCTATTAATTGGGCAAAAGTAGAAACAAAAAGACCCTTGAATAACTGCACTGTGAATGACTTAAAAAAAATGACAAGTTTTAAAATGAAAGCAAGTGGTGAAGTCAATATTGTTCTGCAAAGTCTAGCAGAAACTTGAGTAGCAAAACACCATGCCATGCTACTCAACAGTCTTGCAAGCACTGATTTCTTAAGAAATTGGTGAGGAACAGTGTTATGTCTGCAGACCATATTTTAAGCTTTATGTTTATTTTATTAAAAGTATTTAGACAACTAAAGAAACAATTCATATCAAAGCAAGTACGATAAATTGAGAAGGACATAAAATTAACAATGTTTTAATTAATAAAGTTTACATTTCACTAAGAAGTTAAACTGGGAAACAAGCACCTGTTTACGGAAATGTCCCAGATGAAGTCTTGGCTGCCTTTGTACATGGTCCTGAACAAAGAAAAAAAACCGTTTCTAATCTTTATCGAAACTTGGGCATCTGTGGTGCAGGAGCTCCCTCTATTGGCGTAGAGGAAGAAACTGTCAATAGCGCCCCATCATACAATTTTTCATTCACCCGCAGCTCACATCCATCTTGAAGCATGCGAATTGCTATCCTTGCAATATTCTTTGAATCATCAAGCCCACTGTGAGGCCGTCCATCATAGTCCATTCCAAGCTTTTCAAGCATGGTTGATAATTTGGTCTGGTTTCTGGGTACCTGAAAAAAGAACATAGTATTGAAGTTGAAGCACGTAGGAAGGAGAGCCAATATCTGCCACCAGTCTATGTTACCGAGGCGTCCCAACTGAAAAAAATGCCTTAACTTCTTTTAGGCAAAAGCAGGAAGGTATCAGTCTCTAAGCTGGACTGAACAGAACACCCACTGAAGCTGCAGACAAATGTTATAGTTTTTTAATGAGAGACAGAGCAAAATTGTTGCTCTATTTTAGTTTGCCCCTTCACTAGATCGGATGACAACATTCCATAGGCATCCTTCAGTCTCGAGAGACTATGGTAACATGCTCTGAATCGAGGAGTGTCCTCTCCAGAGCATGAAGCCCGGGTAAAGTAATATGGAGGATAGGCTGTTACCTAAGCAGCAGATTCCCCGCTCTCCACGTTGCTGAAATGGTCCAATGGAGAGGCAAGAGCCAATACAACTGGTTCCAGCAACGTCAAGTTAGTCTTTAAGATGAGGTTAAAATGCCTCTTTATTTTTTCCTTCTGTAGTTACATAGTTCTTTGTGAGACTGAGACACAAATAAATGAGGTTTCTGGCATGGATAGAGGCAATGAGGCCATGACAGCAAAGAATCTGCCTACTCTAAACTTGGCCATCCTGTGTCTCACCTAATTAGAAGCTAGAGAAGAGGGCCCCGGGAATTAAGCAGCTAGTTTAGGATGCTACTTCCTGTTCTGCTGCATCAGAGACACTATTCCAGACTGTTGGACTCAGCCAGTACTTTTATAATAAAAAAGTGGAGAAGTGCTATTCATCTTTTCAATACCACCATAGCTCTCATTGTAAACTGCCATTTTAAATAACCTGTCTAATGACCATAAGAATAGAGAAAAATGCAAGGAATACTTCTAAATAAAGTTCAAGAGAAAAAAATTGAGTTATGTTTGTTTCTCCTTCCTTTTACTTTAGATAGGAGTCAAATTATTCAAACTATTACAGCTCTGGCAGCACAGCTTTGAAAAAAAAATAAGTCTCAGGTTTTAAAACTGGAAAGAATGCTACCTCTAACAGATCTGAATTGGAACCATCACTATACAGGACTTTGTATAACTTACTAGTCAGAATGGACAAAGAGGGTTATTTCTTTGTCTAAACCAGAAAAGAAATGTGCTTAACCTGGCATTTACCCTTGTGGACTGGGTAACATTTTTCCCATGTATGGATTGAATCTTTCAAAAAAAGTGAATACCAAAACACAAACCTTGTAGAAGTTCCCATAGGATTTCCGAATATTGATCCACTTCTTGGCAAAAGAAGGATATTTCAGACGACTGACACGACACTGGATATTTAAAAATTTACTCATATCCCAGGACCTTTAGAAGGGAAAAATGCACAGCATTTTAAAGCTGTTTTCTTACTATTGCATGGTATGCAAGCAGTGTGTTTGTCTAAAGCCAATTTAGTCTTGGCTTTAAACAAGTAATCCCAGAGTGGGTGCACTCTGGGATAACTGAGCCTACTGCTGGTACTTTTGGTGTTACTGTCTTAGACTAGTGATTATTTCATGATATATACCACATTTCCCCGAAAATAAGACAGGGTCTTGTATTAATTTTTGTTCCAAAAAACACATTAGGGCTTAATTTCAGGGGATGTTCAGAAGATCATGTCATCTTCTTCTGGTTGCTGCACAATGGTGGAGGGCAGGGTTTCACTTATTTTGGGGGTAGGACTTGTATTACGAGCATCCTGAAAAATCATACTAGGGCTTATTTTCAGGGAAACACAGTATAGGCAGGAGCCGGGGGTAGAGCCTTCACTGTGGTGATGCCTCAGCGCAAGAAGGAATTCGATTCTTTGACAGCATCCACCTTGAGTTTAGATTAGTTTTGTTTTCCCAAGCTTTTAATTCTACACTGATGTTCATGTTGATTTCACCTGCATATGTTGTTGATGCCATGCCGTTTTTTATTGTTGTTTTTTTGCCATTTCTTTGATCTTATGACTTCATTAACTCTGCACTGTGTTTTTGTATTCTGTAATTTCTAATGATGTAATATAGATTACTTTATATGAAATTCTTCATGGAAATTCATGTTAAAATTAGAGGCAGGGCATACATTCTTAAAATAAAAGGCATATAGATGTAAGATTGCAACCTCTGTGCACATAGATAATAAAGATAAAGCATCCACTAATATCATTCTTTCACTAAACTAATTACCAAAAAAGAAATTAAAATATTTGCTACCTGTGGATAGCGGAGAATAAGCAACTAATAGGTTCAGGACTGTTCCATTATATTACCTTTCTAACAAAGTACAGTATCATCTAACAGGTTCAGGACTGTAGTAAATGTTCCATGATATTACCTTTCTAACAAAGTACAGTATCATATATCCCAGAATATAGACTTTCTCTTAAATTAGATACTTTTTCCTGCTTAGCCGTACTAGAAGGCAATAGTCTAGACAAGATAGAGGAATGTCCAGAAATTCTATTCAGACCAAAATTGCAAATGCAGGTTGCGTTCCTATGACACAACGGCTGAAATCCTGTTGCTTAGCATAGAGGGTCACATTTATAGTACGCCCATTGAATCAATTGTACTTATGGAAGAACTGTCTCACAAAATCCACACTGAGTCAATGGACCAATTCTAGTTGTGATTTACTACATTAAACAAAGGAATTTTAGCCAACGTGAAGAAAATGAAAGATGTAAGATTACACAAACTGAAGAATATATAATTGAAAACACCAACAAAGTTTAATTTTTGATAATACATATTCCTCAAAAAGCAGCAAGACAATTGTTTTTTGTAATTATAAATTAAGTCTTTAATCAACTGAACACAAATGCAATTCTTTCCATTACATACCCATCAGTTAATATGCAATAGCTGTATTTGCTTCCCAGCTCCTTTTGTTTCATCCAATCCACAACACACTGCAGAACTTTTGGAAATTCATCAGCTTTGTCTACAAGGTCCTGGAAATTTGTAATACCATCAGTTAATGAAAATACAAATAGTATATGACAGTAGGAATCATTTTAAAAATATTGTGAGCTGGATGAAAGATTAACACATATTGGAACGTTGGACATGATGCACTGTTAAAATGTGCTAGAATATTTGCACATTTAAAAAATCCTTGGTAGCCATATTAGTTTATGGGGGGGACACCCCACCCCTCCCAAAAAACAACCAACCCCCCCCCCAGCAACATTGAAGACTAATATGTGTTATTTAACATTGACCACGGCACAGGTGGTAAAATTTACAAATGACATCTGGAGCAGCCAGGGTGCAAAACATTCTTATCTTTCTTTGCCAGGAAACCAATGAGATCTGGAGCCACTGGCCATAGGGCAACACCAACAGCAGGATACAGGTGAGTCCTGCTGAATGTGGCTGTGATGGAGGGCAGCAAAACAGCTTACAATATGCAAGATGCTATGAGGGATGTGTTGCAGCAATGAGCTTAGCTGCAGAAAGGCAAGGTCTGTTTGTCAATGGGGTGAACGTGGTGGTGGCAGCACAGCAAGCTGTAAGACAATCATCCTTAGCCAGGTGATCTCAATGTTCCGGGGCTTGATTGGCATGATGGAGGGCAGACATTCTAGGTGGATGGGAGAGTCAGAGAGGAAGAACAGAATTTTTTTCCAGTCAAAAGTGGTGGGCCTAGCCAGCAAACTAGAAGACCAGCTCAACTACAAGTCTGCCTACTTAGCACATTCTTCTCACAGTACTAGGTATGCCATACTTCAGTCTGCTGCCCCCTCCTGCCTTTTATTTTTTCAACTTGTGGTCTAGGATTGTGCTCACTCACTCAACTGTGCTGTGCCCATGTGGCAGAATGAAAGTACTGACACCACCTACTCAAAATATTATTAATATTGAAGAAGAGGGAATCAGGAGGCTTAACGCTAAGCTTAATAAAAAGACTACCAGTGTAGCTAATATGTTGAACTGGGTGTTTTGGCTTTATATAGGGAAAACCCAAATACTACTAAAATTTTAAAACCATTATTTCATTTTGTTTACACTCGTAATTGTGACCAGACACAGAGATCTTTACCTGAGAGATTCCTGTCAGATTAATGCAGAAATCTGAGAGCCGAGGATTAATTTCTGGTTTCACATACTGTTGAAATGTATCCTCCTATGAGATTAAATTAAAACATAGATCACTCGGCAACAATGCAGGAGAACAGATATACTGTTCTCTTTACAGTATTTCTGTTAAGGAAGAAAAAGGCTAATTGAAATAATTAGTAAACAACCAGACAAAATAAAGATTTAGAGTATTTGAATCTTGTGACCAACATTGAAGTTCCAACATCTTTGTGCATCTTTTAGAAAAAAGGAATCCTGCCACACTTGCTGTTCTAGTCAGGGACACTCTCATAATCCCCATTTCAGACTCTCTGTTAGTTCAAAAACAAGATGGAAGCTTTTAACACACAGTAGCCAGTAATAGATTACAAGAACACTATTATAACTGCAGTATGCTCGCATACACAAATACCACTGTGATTCTGCACATTTCCACCCACCCCAAAACAGAAAGCAGAATGTTGGACTTACTGTGACAGTTCCTCCTCGTTAGAAGACAGCAGACCTACACGAAATGATTAACTAGTACTATAACATTAGCACTATGCTAGATTCAGACCACTGGATTTATTAACCAGTTCTTTTCTTACAAATATTGTCTTATTTAAAAAGAGATTATGCCAACCCTATTTGCAAAATGTTACCGCATCTTCTTGAAGAAAATACATGAGGACTTGAAAGACAGCAGAAACAGATCTACTTACTATTTCTAATGTCCGAGTGTTTAATAGGACAATAGGAAACTCAATGATTTCATGTGTAAGTTCAAGCTGATTTCCTTCTTCACATGTTGCTTCGAAGTCAATAACACAGATGTAATCATAGTAATTATTTGCATTTGTCGGTTGCTTTTGCATTAATTTTTCTTTCTTGTAATAATTTTTTAGTCTCTTCTTCAATACATCTTTCACTCCTCTGCCAACAGAAAAGAAAATATAGTGCCTTTTTCCTGTGATCTACGCAGGTACTTCAATGTTCTCCTGAACTGGGAAGCCAACACATTCCCCATTTCATCTATATAGAGTGGAACTTCGACTTACGAACTTAATCCGTATTGGAATGGTGTTCGTATGTCGAAACGTTCTTAAGTCGAAGCAAAATTGCCCATAGGAATGCACTGAAAACCATTTAATCCGTTCTGGCTAGTTTTCATTCTTATCTAGAGGTGCCTCGCAAGTAGAGGCATTAGTTCCCATAGGAACTAATGCAAAGCCAGTTAATCCATACTTTGCCACTAGGGGGAGAATTTTTTTTCCTTTTTTCTTCTTTTGACCTAAGATGAACTTAGGTCAAAAAAGGGTAGGAAAGGAGGGAGAGGGGAGGCAACACCTTTTAAACAGAACACTTTTTTTCGCATTCATAAGTTCAAGCTCCGTTTGCAAGGGAAAGCAAAATTTTGCACCTGGAGCGGTTCATAACTCGAAATGTTCATAGGTAGGGACGTTCGTAAGTCGAGTTTCCACTGTATTTGTTCTTCCTGAAAACATCAGTTTTATATCTCAGAGGACCCCAACCCCCGATCCGTGGCCCGGTGCCAGTCCGTGGCCAGAGCTGCACCGGGCAGCAAAGAGAGACATTCTCACCCCACCCCCACATGCACTCCCCCTGCACAACCTATTTGTGCCTACGCGCAAGCGCCCACATGAGCCCTGTGCTGCCCTTCATGCATGCATGGAAGCGCCCATACAAGCTCTGCACCACCCTTCGCGCATGCGCATGAGTGCTCCTTCACACATGCACACAAGCGCAGGGGGGTGCCCTGTCTTCCCCAGCAGGTCTGCAGGGTTAAAAAGGATGGGGACTGCTGGTATATCTAATACATCAATCTAAGAAGAACTTTTAAAAGGCCTGGCTTTTTTTCTGCTTTTTAAAATTTGACCTAAGAAGAAAGGTACCTTTATTGTGCTATCTTCATTTGAGAAACAAATGAGAACCTTAAAACAAGCACAGCTCGTGTTGCAGATAAGATACAAATTACTGTTCACAATTCCTTTTCCAGTTTATAAACACTTCTTAGTGGTAACAATTCCTCTCTCATCTCTCTACATATATAATCAAAACATACTGTTTCATTCTCAGAGAAAAAAGGAACAAATGCTTACCTAGTGTCAAGCTTGAATTCCGCAAGTTTAGCTCTAAGCTCATCTCTGCTCATTCTATTGATATAACCATTTGTCAGCGAAATTTCTTTGTAAACAGGGTCACTGAAGTCACTTGAACTGGATATGGATTTCTTTTTATTATCTTCTTGACAATCCAGTCTACAGCACTGCTTACTCTGGTGGAAAGGCTATGTTGATAACATCAGAAAAGAAAGAATACAAAATAGAGTTGGCATAATCTTTCTCATCTTCAAAAGCTTAAAATAGTTTCAGCCTGGTTGCACCCATAATATGTTAATGAGACAAATACCCTATACCAGCCATCTCCAACTCGGCATTCCCAAGAGTGCTACTTCTGTTGCTCCTACACAGCATGGCCACTATAGGACTGTTGCCTTTAAATTTCAATATCTGGTCTTAATATGGATTTCTTTTTATTATCTCTTTTTATTCCCCTATTTATTATTATTATTATCATCATCATCATCATCATCATCATCATCATCATCATCATCCTTAAATGAGGGTGTGCCAGGACCTGGGCCCTTTTCCCTAGGAGGCTGAAGACCAGACATGAACATTTTGCTGAGGAGTTTGTTTTTGCTGGGATTTCTTTTGTTTCCCCCCCCACACACACCGCATGGCCTAGGAGGTGGGCCTTTCCCTCCTTAAATGAGGGTGTGCCAAATTCTCTGACCCTAATATGGTAAATAGGAAAGCCAATTAGCATTGCATACACCTGGGAGGCAGGAAAGTTTTAAGGGTCGGATCATACTTCTGCACAATAAGAGAGCAGGCCGGATAGGTGGGGCTTGTCAGCCATGGAAGACAGCCCATCTAGAAGAAAAACTCCAATTTCAAACCTCCACTGCCTTGTGGCTATATCCACTCATGGAAAAGACTTCAGGAGTTAACCTAGAGGCAAAATCCAGAGCTGGAGTCCCGAAGGCAGTTCCTGTTGTTCTGCCAACTTCTGCGACGTTGCTGGAACTAGTTGTATTGGCTCTTGCCTTTCCATTGAACCATTTCAGCAACGTGGAGAGGGGGGATTTGCTGCTTGGGTAACAGCCTATCCTCCATACTACTTTACCCAGGCTTCATGCTCTGGAGAGGACACTGCTCGATATAGAGCATGTTACCATAGTCTCTCGAGACTGAAGGATGCCTATGATGGTCAATACATTGCACTGCAGAAAGCACTAATATCTTTATGCAATTGTTAGAATACGATCATGAATAAAAAAGTAGAGATGTACTACTGATCTAAAACGGAAGAATAAACCAATTCACATTTCCCGTCTGAACAATTTTGGTTGAGTATCAGGAAAAACCTCCTAATGTAGAACAGTAAGACAGTGGAACCAGTTACCTTGGGAATTGGTGAGTGCTCCAACACTGGAGGCATTGAAGAAAAAGATAATCACCTGACAGATGTGCTTTGATTGTATTCCTGCACTGAGCAGGGGGTTGGACTTGATGGCCTTGTAGGCCCCTTCCAATTTTACATTTCTAAGATTCTATGAAAATTGCTCAGATTGTTTCAGCTGTATTATATCTTTGTACCACTTTTTACAGTTTACACTTTACATCTAAGGACCTATTTAGCCTGTTCAGTATTATCTTACAGATTTAGATTCAGATTAGGCATCCTTCAGTCTCAAGAGACTACAAGTATGGTGACATGCTCTGTCTGGAGGTCTTGGAACAGCGTCTAGTATGGCTGAGAAGGCCAATTCGAGAGTGACAATCCCTTCCACACTGAAGACAAATCCAATCTGTCCCCTGTCCAGCTCCCTGATTTTGCTGGGTTCAGGACTGCCTCTTTGTCTCAGCCTGCTGAATAAGTGTCCCTTCAAATTGGGAGAGGCATCGCCTGCCTTACAGCAATCCTTTAAAAAAGGGTAAGAGGCTCAGGGTCTAAATTTAGGTCTCCCAGCCTGTCCAACCTGTGATTCTTTTCAGGGAACAGTAGGTATAACCATGTTTCGCTGTCTCCAAGTTTATTATTTATTTATTTAACTTATATGCCACCCACTCTACCCAAAGGTCTCTGGGCGTTACTGGACAAATGCTTTCATAAACATTTCATCACTTTTATCTACCAAAACGTGATCAGTACCTAGCCGAAGAAAGCGAGAAACGAACGCCTCAAGCATGAAGGGGCCCCGTGGTCAAGGATGCTACCGGCCTTCAGAAATACAGGTCCGGTACCTAACTCCTTTTGAACACACTGCCACTCCCTCTCTCCATTTGACTCACCCTCAAGGGACTGTTATGAGGGTCGAGGGGGGAGGGGAGAGGACGAGCCTTGGGCTCACTGGAGGAAAAAGCATTGTGACTTAACACACACAGTGTCACAAGACTCTCGGCGGCGGCGAGTTTTCCCATAACACACAACCAGGGCCTGCCTGCCTCCCACTTTCTCGCCCTGAACTGGGTTACCGGGAAATGTCACCGAATTTAACGGCAGAACAAGAAACACCTCTCTCTCTCACACACACACACACGCTTAACGCTACGCCGCCCCGCGAGCTAGCAGAGGAGCGGAGGAAATTAACGGCCACGACCCTCCTTTCCCTCCCCAACCTCATCCCGCGCCCTTCCAACGGCTGCCGTCGCCTTGCGTGTGACGTCCGCCCCTGGGCGCCACGTCGAAGGCGGACCGGACTCGGACCTCACCGGCGAACCGGCCGCGCGGGCGTCCGTTTTAGCTCCCTCCTCTTCGGCCGGCCGGTTTTCTTTCTGCGCCTCCATTCTTTCTTTCTTTCTTCCCGTGACGCGAAAAACGCGCGCGGGGCAACGGGGCGGGGGGGGACGGCGGCGCGAGGGTGAGAGCGCGCACGCGCACGCGCGTGTGTGTGCATCCCGGGGGCGGGGCCTAGGAAGGGGAACGCCTCCAGGCTTTGACGCCCTCGAAGAAGCGAAGGGGAGGAGGAAGGTGCGGTGACGTCACACGGCGGGGGTCTCCATTCGTGGCCTTTGCCTCGGCGGGCTTCTGCCCCTCCGCTTGCAGGCACGTCGAGGCGGGCCGGGCTCAGTCGCGTTTCCCCCTTCTCCGCCCAAGTTTCCCTTCGTAAAACGCCCACCATGTTTCTCTCCAAGAGAATCTGTTGCGAGGTCTATGAAGCCAAGTGGAGGGCCCATTTTATTCTCTCTCTCAAAAGGGTTCCCCCCCCCCCAGTTTAGCGATGCCTAGCCAAGAAAAATGGGAATGGCCGAGAAAGGCGACTCCTCCGCTCACCAAGGATTGATGGGAAGACAAAATAAAAAATAAAACTGGAAGTATCGTGGCCACGTCATGAATTGATGGTGTGGCTTGCCTGTCTTTTGAATGGTGCATATAGATCTGCAGCTGCCGCGTATTGAAAAACGGGCATCATTAAACGGGGGAAAAGGGTGCAAAGGGGGACAACCAGTGAGATGAGGGACTGGCCTGGTGGGGAAAAGTTACAGTGTCTGGATTTTTAAATTATTATTTAGAGGAACCTATGGCTGAAGCCCCAACGATGTACATACTTAGAAGTAGGCTAATAACTTAATGCTATGTGTGTATGAATAAGATTGTACACTGAGTGGAGTAGAAAGTAAAATACTTAATTGTTTGAACCTTAACTGTTTTGCCACACACACCTCGGTTCTGCCTGGAAAATAGTATTTGCCAACATTTCTTTCAAACGCAGGAATAAGGTTTATTTTCCAGACCATCAACACGTTGGAATAACTGCCCTGAAAGGCAGGGTAGCGCATAGTGGCAATTTGCCTCTGGGATTTGTCCCATTACACTTTAATTGGTGTGTGCCTGCAATAGGAGTCTTGCAATGTGTGGCTTTTTAATTTTTAAAAATGCCTGAAATTATAGAATACAGATAAATATTACCTCAAAATTGGCATTTTAATATAATTAGTAACTGGTGTTAATAATACACATACTTCAAAAGGACAGAATCCTATTACAGTAGTTATGCTTGCTGGAGTAACATGGTGTAAATATTGGCATTGAATTGGCACAAAATTCAGGCATTAGTGTAGGTGGTTTGTTGGTAACACAGCTTGGTGCATTAATACACTAATTTATTAACTTGTGAGATGTCAACACCAGGATTTACACTATGTTATACAAGTGTAAAAATTCAATAAAATTTTGGTCAATGTTAATAGTTAATATTATTTTTTACAGTAAGATTTGTCCCCTTAATAATCATAAAAATGGCATATTACTCCCATGTTTTTGGGCATCTGCAATTAACAGTTGTGAGACGAAGGTTTTAACAAATTAATGATAGGTTTTAGCTACCTGTGGGAATCCTCAAAAGGGATTTGAGCCAGCAGTACTTATCACATCTCTTTAGAATATTTTTAACTCTTACATATATGTTCTTATATAAGAAAATGTGTTATTTTGTAGATTGTTTTCTTTGTGTATTTGGATACTGGTCTTTGTATTAAAAGTGACTTGACTCCCATGTTTGTGTCTGAGCTCAAAACACAAAATTAGTCTGCATTCCTAACATGGAAGATCCACTCACATTTACCATTCAATTTTCCTTAGCGTACCTCTTCTCAGCCCAAACACACGCAAACTTTTTGCCCTTTCTCTTATTTACTGCTGGCTTCTTTATCTCCAGTGTCCAGATTTTCTGAGCATCAGCTTTCCCTCTTGTTCTGTCTCTCCTCTTTGGCCAACAGAGTTTTGATGTGGGTGGCTAGAAGGCGACCGAGCTCTTGTTTCCAGCTGCCTCATCTTGTTTCCTTTCTAAAGAACAGGCTGGGACCATGTGGGACTCAGATTTGTTATTCCAGAGAGAAAAGGGGGAAGGTGAGGCAATTGAAAGCAAGACCTCTGCCAGCTTCCAGCTATCCAAGGCAAACTTTAAAAATTGTCTCAAGGGTGGTATCTAGGACATTGCAATGCCGGGTCAAGTGGTAAAAGGAAAGTCTACCAAAAGGTCCTTGTCAGGACGGTACAATCTTTAATGAAAAAAATGCTTTCTACTAAGCAACTTCTAATTAAGTTCTTTAAGCTTATTATATCTGTCTGATATATATTCATTTAGGTCCCTTTTATAGTAGGATGCAAAGAGATGATCCAGAAGTGTCAGTTCTGTGCTTGCTGTCTTTCTCTGTTGTCTTCCTGCCAGTAAGTAGTGTACTGTTGGTAGCTGGAACAGCTGAACCATTTCCACTTTGAGGCACTGCATTTTCTTGCTGATTTTTCTGTGCTGGCTTTTCATCTGTTAACAAATTAAACACTGTTTTAAGGCTCATTAAGAAAATATTAGGGTGTCAAATGATTATCTGTCTTTTAAGAACTTAGTGGCTGAAATCCTGTTTTGCAATAACACAAATGGCGTAACTTTTAGATGTAGTTACACATTGTACCTTTATTGTTTCTGGCCACAGGCCTTTGCAAAGGCAAATTTACATAAAAACAGTTTTTTTAAAAAGGATGCCCCAGGGGTCAATAAACCCGTTCTGGGAATAGTAGCATAGTGTATAATATTAAAGTCACTATATTCAACATTTATGTAACGTTATGAACCATAACAAATTGAAGCCTCACTTTCTTGGCTGCCAGAGCAAATTGTGCAACACATTATTTAACTTTTAAATGTAAATACTGTAGTTGTTAGTTAGAGAATCTGTGTAGGCTACTATTAGTTGCATGCAGAGTTGCATGAAAAATGCCAAAATTCCTTGCGGTTTTATTGGCTTTTCTGCTGCTGGGCAATTTCACACCTTCAAATTCACAGCTGAAGATGGGTGGTTGTTTTGTTGACACATTAAGGAATGATGCTTACCTGCTTTGAATATCTCCTTTGAAAAAATATGTTTTCTCTGGACAGGGCATGGCTTTGTGGCTTTGATGTGAAAATCCTTAAAGAAAACATCAATGTTGGTGTAAATGAGACTTTTAAGAACCCAAAACAAATAACATATGAATGCGGGCCAGTCATTTCTGCTTCTTGCAGCAAGACATTTTGCACCATAGTTTATGTTATTTGAATGTGGTATGAGATAGAACCCTAGCTAGTTTATCTTCCAGCAAAGGAGAAATCCATTGTTTGTTCTATGGTTTCTTTCTAAATTTGGGCCCAGTGGTATTGGACAAGCAGCAGTACCTCAAGTGTTGCTGGGATTGAACATTATTTATTTCACCATTCCTGCTGACAGCAGAAGCAATCTGGAAGTATACACAAGCATACTGCTTGCGTTCAAGAAGCCAGGGCTCCCACCATTTCCTAGTGTATCATTATATCTAAAAGCTACTAGGGCAGGAAACATGCGCCCCCCCCAGATGATAGTTTGTGGCCCTCGCCTTGCCTACCCCCCCAAAGCGCCCACATATCCTCTGCTGTCAAGAGTAAAAAAAAGCCTTGCCTCGCTTGCCGCCTCTCTCCCAAGACAGCACCTCTCGCACCCTCCATCCAAAACTGTAGCCTGCCGGCCAGCCCAACTGTCTGTCGGCTAAGGAAACTCCTGGGCGGCTTCCTCGGGCTCTTGCTCCGCTTGGCAGAAAATCTGATGCGGCCCAGCCTCACCCAGACTCTGCCTCTGGCGGCCCCCAGGTAAATTGAGTTTAAAACCCCTGTACTAGGGTATGTTCATATCTCCACATCAAATTTGTGAAGTGTTATCCTCATTTGCCAAGTATGCATGCACATAGACAGAAAAATTAGATCATATGATTGTTGAGTGTAGGAAGATAGTTGTGGCAATTTTGTGTAATTCTAACAATAAGCTTCTTCAGGATTACCTTTCTTTTGCTCACATTGACTACGAAGAGGGGGCAACTGATATGCTGAAAAAATATTTTAAAGAATCGATAATCAAGCCTCTTATGCTTCAGAACACATCTACTTCCTAACAGATTTGGGATGAAGAGATTTCAGAAAGTGTGGAATTATGTCACTTACTTCTGAGTATTTATTAAAACATCTGTTTCTGGCTTCAGGGTGGCAGTATAAATATCTGCAGAAAGAAAGAGAATACATATCATAGATGTGTAGACTCAGCTTTCAATGTAATAAATGCCTTGCTGCCCCAGCAGTTTTCTGTACATTCTAGTGATAATTTAGCAGAATTTGAAGAAGTTACTTTCTTGGATTATAGTGGTGGCCATCCTATCTGTGAAGTTGTGAGAGTTTTAGTCCAAAAAAGGCAGTTCTCAGTAATGTAATGTCCTTTGGAGCGTCAGCATCATAGAATCATTGAATTGTAGAGCTGGATTTTCTTCTCAGTAATGTAATGCCCTTTGGAGCTTCAGCATCATAGAGTCATTGAATTGTAGAGCTGGAAGGGACCCCAAAGGCCATTGAGTCCAGCCTCCTGCTCTTGGATTATAGTGGTGGCCATCCTATCTGTGAAGTTGTGAGAGTTTTAGTCCAAAAAAGGCAGTTCTCAGTAATGTAATGTCCTTTGGAGCGTCAGCATCATAGAATCATTGAATTGTAGAGCTGGAAGGGAACCCAAAGGCCATTGAGTCCAGCCTCCTGCCAGTGCAAAAAATCCAGAACTAAACCATCCATGATAGATGGCCATTTTAAGATGCTGCTTAAAAATCTCCCGTGAAGGAGAATCCACCATTCTTCAAGGCAGCTAGGTCCACTGTTGAATGGCTCTAACTGTTAGGAAAATCTTCCTAATGTTTAGTCAAAATCTCCTTTCTTGTAACTTCAATCCACTACTTCTAGTCCTATCCTCTGGAACTGAAAAACAACTCTGAGCCATCTTCCATGTGGCAGTTCTTTAAATACTTGAAGATGGCTATTATATTGTCTCTCAGTACTGTATTCTTTTTTCCAGCCTTTACATTCATTCATTCAATTTGGTATACTGGTGTACTGTCTTTCTCCTGTAAAGGGACAAGGTCTCTGACAATAACTAAAATACAAGTAAAGCTAAGAAGGGCAATAAATATACAATTAAGAAACAATTAGCTCTGGCCCATATTTGGTCCTATTTGCTCCAGGTTTTCCACCATTGTTGCTCTCGTCTCCATCCCACTCACTTTATGACTGCCAGCTCACTAGTAAACTTGGGGGCTCATTTGGCTCTGCTATGTGGGAGGAGATGCCTAGGAGTATTTCCACATTCCAGAGGACACCAGGACTTTGGCAGGATCTCCTGCCAAGGCAACAGAAAACTTTCCAAGGGCTGTTAGGAGACCATTCAGATCCAGCCACCTTTTGGAGCAGACCATCACTGTTCCACCTCTGCAGAGGCTCTTGAGTTCCAGTTAGTCTAAACCCCACCAGGTAGTGATCTGTCCATGACAACAGAACCACAGAATGTTCCTTCACATTGAGATCACCCTCATGCTGCCCAGCTCAGAAAACTAATCCCAGCGTGTGCCCTGCTGTATGAGTGTGGACAGATATCGTTTGGAACAGATCCATGGTTGTCATGGAGGACATGTCCTGAGCTGCTCCTGAAAAGGTGGCCTTAGGCATGAATGTTGAAGTCTTCCAGGACAAGAAGCTGCGTGGACGCCAAGCATCACCACCAAGAACTACTTGGACAGCTCAGGAAGGAGACTGTTGAACAGTTGAGTGGGTGTTACACCAACAGAAATCCCTGTTCTGTCTTGGCACCCACTTTCAGGTAAACACATTCAAATCCAGAAGATTATATAGCAGGACACCTAGTAAGGAGAATGGAATTATGGTAGACCAATGCAACTCCACCTCCCCTGTCTTCTCTTAACTTGCTGCTGGATGGAGAACCAAGGTGGGCATTGCTGAGAGAATTTAAGTTCCCCAGCTTCATCCAACTAGGTCTCTGTAATATGGCCAGGTCATTGTACTCGTCAAGGATCAGGTCTTGGATAGTTCTTATTTTTCCTTTCATCAACCTGGCATTCAGCAGCAGTACTTCCAACCCAGGAGGTCTGTCATGTTCTCTCAACCTTTCCTCACAGGATTCGGTTTCTATACTTTTTACCATTCTGTTTGCCCTATTCTCCAAATGTTCCAGCTTCTCGATATCCTTATTAAACTGTGGTGCCATGAATTGCATGCAGTACAGATGAAATCAGACCGAAACAGAGTAGGGAGTACTATTACTTACCTTGATCTGGATGCTACATATCTGTTGATACATTCAAGTATGTTATTCATCTTTTTTCCCTTACTGTTGCTGCATCAGACTTGTCTCATGTTTAGCTTGTGATCTACTAGGCCCCTAGATCCTTCTCACATGTACTACCTCTGAGCCAGTTTTCACATATGCTATGTTTGTGCATCTGATTTTTCCTTCCTAAGTGCAGAACTTTTTCTAGTTGCTTCATTGCTGCCCTTTCAAATCTCAATCTTCCTCTGGTTTCTTGGTTGCAGTCTCCATTTGGATTGATGACTGAACCAAGGTATGCAAACTAAACAATTTCTTCATTGGCAATACCAAAGTTGTGTATTCCCTCGGTAGTCATGATTTTGGTCTTCTTGATGTTCAACTGCAGTCCTGCTTTGATACTTTCTTCTTTCACGAAAGTTATTTCAAGTCATTGCTGCTTTCTGCCAGTAAGATGGTGTCATCAGCATATCTTAAATTCTGCTCACTGTAGTGAAAATATCCCATGCCTAGAGAACAATAAAGCTAATTTATTTGTCAGAGTAGGAGCAATGGAAGGGGCTTGCTTCCTCCCACCTTTTGCCAGGCTCTAATTCTCAATTGCTCTAGGACTGCAAAACTGGAAGGAAGCATAGTCTAGCTTCCACTGTCAGCTAGTGGACAAAAGGATGCTTGTGTGTGTGTGAGTGAGTGAGTGCGTGCATGCGTGCGTGCGTGAGTGAGAGAGTTTTCATATACTTATGGGGGAGGGAAAAGCTCACCTATCTTGATGAAGGAATCACTTCCTAAACAAACTGGTTGTGTTTTGCTCCATCCCTGTTGTTATTGTTTCCTTTTATATTATGGCTTCTAGATGCTTAGCTGTACAAAGGCACTGTTTTATCCTTTTAACAACCAGTATTACCCTGTTTCCCCGAAAATAAGGGGAAAAGCTCACCTATGTTGATGAAGGAATCACTTCCTAAACAAACTGGTTGTGTTTTGCTCCATCCTTGTTGTTATTGTTTCCTTTTATATTATGGCTTCTAGATGCTTAGCTGTACAAAGGCACTGTTTTATTCTTTTAACAACCAGTATTACCCTGTTTCCCCGAAAATAAGACCTAACCTGAAAATAAGCCCTAGTATGATTTTTCAGGATGCTGGTAATATAAACCTTACCCCCAAAAGAAGCCCAGTTAAGTGACACCCCTCCTTCCACCATTGTGCAGCAACCAGAACAAGATGACAGGACTGTATTTAAATAAATGTAGATTGTTGTAAATGAAAAAAATTAAAACATCCCCTGAAAATAAGCCCTAATGCATTTTTGGAGCAAAAATTAATGTAAGACCCTGCCTTATTTTCAGGGAAACACGGTACTACTAACAACTTTTGCATGAAGACTTTGTCACCCCGAAAAACTGTTTACTGGCAATTTTCGATTATTGCGTTTGTAGCTAAAGATTTCCTAGCGCAAGGACGAAGCACTTTCCTCTGGAGATAGGAATTGACCCTGTCACTCAGCGGCAAATGATGTTTTTTTCCTCCCTTAGGAAGCCATTGGATGGATGTATCCACTCCAAATCCAACGTGTCCTTGAGCTCCTGACGAAATTGGCATCCCTTCCTCAATTAGAAATTGTGACACAAGAATGTATCACTATAAACTGCCCACTTGGGGGTCTTCTTTGCCTTTTGTTTCTACTGAACATACCATACACTTCACCCACTATGGAATTACTGAGTAGACATTTGCTTTCTTCTGGCCTTATTGAATGTCTGTGGCCTTGTTTGTAGCGGTAACCATGGAAGCAAAGGCTGACTCACTCACTCATTCACAAAGCAAGGAAACCTTAACACCAAGCATATTTCAGATGAAATCGTTTTAGCTATTAAGGAAATGAAAATCTATATGGTATTATTTTTCAAAACATTCACTGCTCCTTGGAAGGAAAGGATACCAGGGTTTTCTTTGTAAGCTGTCAATCACAATGAATGACACCCCGTAAGAATCTGTGTTAATTTTGCTTCTTTTACCTCGGCATGAAGTGGTTGGTCCACAGTGGCAGTGCACCAAGAGGCGAATCAGGTTTCTTTGACTGGCTAATCTATCGGAGCATCTGCATTTGATTGTGGAATGTGAATAGGACATTAAACAAGTTATTTACAGTACAGGTGGAATGATAACTGTACCCATGGCAACGATTCTTGGCAAAATCACCTGTTTTCTCTATTCCTTTTTATTTCTCAATATTTGACATTCCTCTGTGGCATTAAGGGCTACAAAAAAGCAGATATAATCTTCATCCGCAACACATTAGTAGTGTCTTTATACTGCCAGCAGAATCAAAATGGCAGTGCTTTGCCCAGTACTGTAGCATTTTAGGCTGCACC